TAAGTATATGTACGATAAGCTAGAAACCTACTAACATTTAAAATTTGCTATGTTGCCAAACTTAAATCAGTGGATATGCGTGAATCAGTTGTTATAAATAAATCAACGTTTCTGCATACGGCCCTTAATTATACATTTTTAATTTCCAATTCTGCTTTTGTAGTACCTGCAGGGTTACCAGTTTTTTCTTTTATAATTATGCAATCATTATCACTTCAAGCTCGTACAAAACGCAAAGTCTGTTTGCCAAATTGTGCCAACTTATAATCACGGAATGCGCATATTAAAAGTCGAATTATTCAATAGGGGAAAGGAGGGGATATTCTGCCGTGCTTAATGAAAACGCCGTAACCAACAATTTTGCGATTTTTGTTTTACGGCATTTTCTACTAGAAAAATTCATCCTGCGTCTATCCCCGGTACTCAAAAAACTGTATCTATATATATACGGTTTTTTGAGTACCGGGGATAGACGCAAGATGAATTGTTCTAGTAGAAAATGCCGTAAAACAAAAATCGCAAAAATTGTTGGTTACGGCGTTTTCATTAAGCACGGCAGTATTCCACCCAGCAATATCCCTTTATTATGCTGACAATGCCTGGACCACGTACATTATAAATTTATTTCCCATTTAATTCATAAGAAATTCGATCAAACAAAAATGCTCCGACATTATTTGCAAGCGAGACATAACCACTACCAACAGTTTTTATCAGTTTACCTTCAATAAATATTGCAGAATCATGCATTATTAACCAGGATGACATATGGATAATACGTTCGGTTTTCCATTTTTTGAATTGTTTCATCAAACTGCGGTTTTCGATAAATATCGAAAGTTTGGTTTAACAACATTATATCCCCGGGATTGAAGAAAAAGACGATTTGAGCGGGTTAAAGTGTTTGACTGAATTTAGATTGTTTGTGTCGATACTTTTATTGCAATAATTGTTAAATACCAATCCCATTATAATAATCTTTTTAACTTCAAACGAATGATAATTTCTTCTCCACGAAAATTTACTTGCTTGCAACCCTGATTAAAAACTGTTAAAGTAATATTAAATATTCCTTGTTTATTTATTACTGGTAAATAAATAAGATTTTTGGGAATTTCGTTAATTGTATAATCAGGGTCAACGTCTTCGGAAAATTCGTAAATGGTATGTGTTGGTAGATGATTATAAAAAGCGCCTGTCGATATATTACAATAGATATAAATTGTCCGCACCTTTATAATATTAACAGGTTGACCTGATTCATGTTTTTTGCCTGCTGTCAAGGTACTCTTTGAAACAGTGGCGGCTCGTCAGGGTAGGCCTCTGAGGCCGCGCCTCACCCTTAAAATGAAGGAACGAACGAGTTTTTGTATTTATATTTTTGGCTATTACAATTGTATTTTTACAACAGTTCTACCCAATAAAAAGTAAAAAACCAATCAATCATACTAAGCGTAAATAAAAATCCAGGCGCAAAGCGCGTCAAGTTGACGTGTATCGTTAAGAGTCGCTAGGACAGAGGCGAAATTTTCACAGCCTCGGAAGCTCCCATTTACCTCTTGAAAGCGAAAATGACTCACCAACAAAAATATCGCCGGAAGTTCGCAAATAAATACCGTAGATGAGGCAAAATTTAGTTAGCTTGGCTTGTTCTGATTGGTGGTTTTATCACATGACCGGTGATAATCGCTTGTGGGGGTCCGTCTATGGTGGGATGCCGGTTTTCTCTAAGCGTTTGTAGAGCACGTTATTGTTTTGATTCAGATTAAATTATTTAAAACTTTTGGCTGATCTTTTATAGTTTTTGTCTCGATTAGTAAAATTTCTTATGTAATTATTGTAGGGAACACAGGTAGATTTAGCAGTTGCAAACTTAAAAGATAGACGTATAGTATTTTATATTTTTTAATACTTAGGTAGGGGTCGACTTTTTAGTTTTATTTTTATTTTTTGATTAATTTATTTATTATTAACTTTTTTAAGACTATATGTTTAAGTTTAAGATTAAAACTAGTCTTTGATGTGATATTTTGTTTGTTTTGTTTTTTAGAGTTAATTTTTTATTTATAATGGTTTAGTAGGGCTATCGGCTCCATTTTAAAAAAGGTCAACCCGTCGCAAAATAATACCTCCCGGGTTACGTGAAAATTTATTCGTATTTAGACAAAATTAACCTTATGTAGCCTCACCCTCCTGTACACCCACGAGCCGCCACTGCCTTGAAAACCCTAAAATTCTGGCAATACTATCTGCATGCGTAATGTCCACCTCGTCTAGTTCGCTTTGAATTTCGCACTTTAATGTATTATTGTTGGGCTTTAAAAAAATTAATATAATATTCTTTTTTTACTGTCGCAGAATTAATTTTTTATTATCCTATTACGAAATATGATCGTTCTAATATCACTTTTTAATGTGGAATGACAGTATAACAGAATAAATTATTCTATCATCGGATGACGAAATAAACACTGGTGGCGACATCTGTTTTTAATATCTAACAAATTTAGACCGATTCAACCTCACTTTTTTCCAATTAAATTACTTTTTTATGGTATTTTTTGGAAACGTAGAAAAAGTAAAATCTAAAACACGTTTAGAATTGCATATTCCAAACTTGTTACAGAATATACTATTCTATCTTAAATAGGTTTCTAAATCTTATATTTCGTAGGTGCCAGTTGGTAATAATAATAATAATAATATTAATCTTTATTGGCCAAATTCTGCTTACGAAAAACATTTATGACAAATCATAAAATAATAAAAATAATCAATAAATACATTCAAGCATAATAAAAAAGCGTGTGTTTTTCTTTTTTAATGGGTTTATTTTTAGCACTTTTTATAAATTTATACTCAATTATTTCCAATTAGAAAAATCAGGCAAATTTAACGTATTTCTATAAATTTCCTGTTTAGCTGCTTTATATAATAAAATTTCACAACCTTGAAATACAACTTTTGGTAATCGTTCATCTTCTACATTACATACTTTGAAGTTTTTCACATATTTTAGACATTTTTTTTTAAGACAAAACAAACAAATTCTCTCGATTATCCGAATCCATGCATGATTTTTTATTAGCTTCTTTGCACTATATACTATAATCAATGCAAATATAATTATTTATACCTAATTTATAAATAAATCTGCGACAAATTGGAAAAAAAACGGTAAAATAACCTAACGATACTTTCAATCACGATTTCGACATTTGACATGTGACAAGTGACATATGTCAATAGTTCACTAGTCTAATGAATTGCACATTTTATGTAACAAATACATTAAGAGCTGTTAGTCATTATTTGGAGTTCACTAATTATAAATTTTAAAAAATTGATTAAAAATCATTAATGTTTTTATAAAAATTGATTTTTCTAAAAAAGAGCCAAGCAAATGGAATTATTCTGGGTAAGGTAATTGTACCAGTGGCTGACACAGTCCCAGTGTCTGACATAGTACACCAATTTCTTTATATATTAAGCATTCTATATAATTAAAATTGTAGTGATTATTTTTGGAAAAAAAAATAATATTTAGTTTTAAGTTGGTATCCCTGTCTGTTACCTTTAACCGTTTTAACCTAAAAATTTGCATGTCACTTTTACACATGGTCGGCTGCCATTGTAAATGCGTCTCATTTCTTAACAATTTTGCTAAGTTATACAGTGTCCGAAAAAGCTCAAAACAAAAAAACTGTGCTTAATACCGGTAAGTGTAATATTTTTTTCTAATTAAGAAAGTATTTTGAATATGCTTTGAACAAATAAATACAAGATTATTGAAGCCTTTAATTTATTTTTTACTATGTCAGGTACTAGGACAGCTATTTGGAGGGTTTCCTAGTTCCTGACACACATGTCAGCAATTGGGACATGGTTTTATTTAAACCTGAACCAATAGCTGACTTACACCTTATGGATATTTAAGCACGTATGAAACCTTACTTATTTTACTTATTTATGCTTTTTTAAGAAGCAGGATGGATAAAACAAACAAGCCTAAGAAAAAACATCAGAGAATTTTACAATACTCAGAAGAAAGCATGCAGGAGGCGATCAAAGCCGTTAAAAATGGACAAAACAGTTTGCTTAGAACCAGATGTGGAAACATTGTCTAATTCAGTGAAAGATCCAAATGATGATATTTATGACTTTGTAAAATCTCTAATTTCTCATATAATGGAAACTGCTCTAAATACAGCTATGATTCATCTTGATGCCTACAATAAATCACCAGAAAAGACAAATATTCCAGAAAATGTGCCTTCTCCTTTCAAGAAGCTCTTGTTTTGGCCACAACCCTCGACAAGCAAAAAGAAGAAAAACACTAAAGTGAGACTGCCTCCTGTAGCATCTTCCGAACAGTGGCAACAGTATCATATCAGAGAAGCAGAAAGAAAAGAGCGAGTGGAGAAAGAAAAGACTGAAAGAAAAATGAAAAGACAACAAAAACAACAGGAAAAGGAACAACAACAAAAGGAAAAACCTTCAAAGAAAAAACCTAAAGGCATAGCGAAAAATACAACAGCTATTTTAGAAAATAAAAAGAAAGTAACTGAAAAAGAAACTGAAGTTGAAGATGAAGTAGATGGCGAAGGACTTAGAAGTGAGGAGATGCAACCTGAAGAAGGTATTTGTTTTGAAGTTGGCAGATTTGTTATTGTTCGTTATGAAGATAACCATTATCCTGGAAAAATTGAAAAAATCGACGAAGAAGAGCTTTACATAAATGTGATGGAAAAAAGTGGAGTTAATTGGAAGTGGCCCAAAAAGTTAGATAAACTTTGGTATAACAAAGAAGATGTAGTAAAGGGCATTAAACATCTGACTCCAGTTAATAAACGGGGCATCTATAATATATCAGAAATGAAATGTTTCCAAGAATTTATTCAATAAAAAATCTTAGACATTTGTAATTATTTATTTACCTACTTAGTATTATTGGTAATGTTATCTAAGAATATAGAGTAGATTTTGTCAGGTATTGGGCCATGGCCATGTCAGCTACTGGTTCATTCTCAACTTTGGTATGTCAGGTACTGGTACAAATGAGGTAAAGTATTCATTATTGATTTTTTAATTAAAGATCTTTAAAAAATGATGTTTTATCTTTTAATTTTCCTTCTACACAAACCATAAAATGATAGAGAAAGCTTTAAAAAGATCTTTTACAAAAACTTATTTTTTACTTAAGTCTTTTTCTAAACAATCTCCTAACAGTGTCAGCCACTGGTACAATTACCTTATATTTTTACGACCAACTGCTTTTAAAGCAGATTTTTTTTAACAAATTTTTGTTTGATACATCTAAATTTAGTACATATTCTTTAACTTTATTAACTACTCCCTGTTTAAATGAAATTAGGTGGCAGCGTTTTTTTTTTTAATATTCATTCCAAGTTTTCCTTTAACCTTCATTCCGTTTGTTACTAACCAAGCACCTGCTTTCTCACCAAATTTTGAGTCTTTAGATTTCATCCTTTCCCAAGCTTTTTTTTTCAAAACCCAATTGGCTTTGGGTCTATCCTCCAAACTTTTATTTTTCGAATAAGCAATGTCGTGCTCTTTGAATACAGCGTCCAATGGATTTATACCTAAATCACCCCTTTAAAGTATTTTCTCTACTTTAGTTCCCGGTCCACAACACTAGTAAGAAGATAAATGAAGCTCAAAGGGTAGGTGATTAATGGTAGAATTTCATAAGCCGTGCTGGCTTTATGCCTAAAAGTCAACATTAAAATAGAACATTTTAAAATAGGATTAAGTATTTATAAGCATTTTTTATATTAATTATATGTTAAAACTGTATTTATTTTATTTTTTATTTAATTGCTAAAATTTTTAAAAAGGGTAGTTAATATGTATTAAATAAACTTCAATAGAAAGTTCCTGATGTTATTAATTTATTTTATTTAAAAAATTTTATATATTTCCATTAAAATAGCGAAATGCTGAAGTTATATCTAAAGGAATACCCAAAAAACTGCTTCTTGATAAGACCTCGATTAACGGTTTTTAATCTGCATTCATAAAACTCGTTAACATACCAATTATCATACAAAAGAAATGTTCTACCCATCTTTGAGTTAAAAATAACATTTATTTTACTATTTTTTGAGATATCGAAATTGCTTATTGATATTGATATTGAATCTTATAATGAACACACAAAAAAAATTGCAGCTTGCGCTTTCGATGGCTGGCAAAAAGTTGCAAACTTAAAGTTTATTTATTCAGTAAAAAATCCTAATATATTAATATCGTTTAAATCCTTTGATCATAAATATTCAACACGATGTAAAAGAGGTATGTGTCCATTTAAATTTGATTGATCTAGCAAAGAACTAGGTAATGCAACTTTTCCAAATCATAATTACTGTCAGGAAAGTCATCTTGATGAAAGTGAAAATTGGTATTTTGGATTAGAAATTAGGGTGGAGCGAAAAAAAATTTTTGTTTCCTTAGCCTGGGGGTGGAATTTGTAGCCTGTAAAAAAAGAAAATTTTTGAAAAAAAAAATTTTTTTACTCGACGTCTTGAGGTGGCCCACTGATTTTTTAAATTAAATTTAAGTTAAAATTCTTTTGGATAAAAAAATTTTTTTTTGGCTTGTAATCTTCAAATTTATCTAAAAATAAACAAACTTGATCGTGTTCAACTCGAAATTCGCTCTATTGCCTTAGAAAAGCATGTTACTATTTTGGAATTTTTTTAAAAACAACAATAATGACCACGAAAAAGTTCATAACTGTTAATTAGCAAGAAAGAGGACACTCCGCAGTTTCCGGAACACTTTTGAAAAAAATTTTACGACCACTCGTTTTTAACTTAAATTTAATTTAAAAAATCAGTGGGCCACCTCAAGACGTTGAGTAAAAAAATTTTTTTTTTCAAAAATTTTTTTTTACAGGCTACAAATTCCACCCCCAGGCTAAGGAAAAAATATTTTTTTTTTTCGCTCCACCCTAATGTCTAATCCAAAATACCAATTTTCACTTTCATCAAGATGACTTTCCTGACAGTAATTATGATTTGGAAAAGTTGCATTACCTAGTTCTTTGCCAGATCCATCAAATTTAAATGGACACATACCTCTTTTACATCGCGTTGAATATTTATGATCAAAGGATTTAAACGATATTATTATATTAGGATTTTTTACTGAATAAATAAACTTTAAGTTTGCAACTTTTTGCCAGCCATCAAAAGCGCAAGCTGCAATTTTTTTTGTATGTTCATTATAAGATTGAATATATCAATGAATTATGTTTTTATCCCATTTGCTTTTTAATTTAAAAGCCTCATTGTCTGATAGGATTCTATGTAATTAAGAATACATTTTTTACATATGGAAACACTGTGTGGAATTTTAAATAGCTTACATTAACTGTTAATAAATAAATTGTATTTTTGTACATATATACATAATATTTTGTCCATAATTAAACATTCAATAAAACAAATATTATTTGGATTGTAACAGAAAATATATTCATTTTTCTGTATATACAAGCTACCCCCCTTGGCTATGCCCTTTTGCGTTAAATTGTTTTTTTTTAATTAAACCCATTTATTATTCTATTAATTCCAATTTATAAAAAATGTGTAAGTTAATGCTTTATTTTATTTCCTTCATTTAATATTCTTCTTAATGTTTTTTATTATATGAATGGTAATGGATGAAAAAAATTACCATATTTTTCTATCACCGCGGTGCACCGTTGTCATTCATATAATAAAAAAAGTAATACAGTAAAATAGTAAGAGGGATATTGCATAAAGGAAATAGAAAAAATAGACTTATTATGGATGAAATATTAACCCTTTCAGTCCCAATTATATAAGTCCTAGGCGCTGTTTAAAAAATTCCAGAGGGTATTAAATTTGGGCTCAGGCACTGACCAAGCCCGCCTAGGCTCTTGATAAACGTAATCAAATTAAATAAATGCCGAGCAAAGCGAGGTGGTCTCGATCAGTGCTTGAGCCAAATTTTGCAATCCTAGCCTAGGTGGCCTAGGCTACTTGTAATCTCGTAAATTTACACAAGCTCTAAAATGAATTTGGGTGTATTGTAATAAATGTTTTTCATGAAAAATTTCCTAAAACGCCTGTGTCAAAAAGGGGATTGCGAAAATTATTTAAATAATTTAATGAACTGGGTCGGTGATAAATTTGAAGAAATCCAAGAAAAAATATGATGAAAATGACGCAGATACATTATTAACAATAGGTCCAGTTTTAGATAACCCGAAATTAAACTACAAACAATTTTTAAGGAAAATTAAATTATACCGTTTAAGCCAAAGATACGGCATACACTTGAACCTGGAGATGAAGAGAGACGTTTGGAGTTTTTTTATGGATAGAATAAAAGTTCCTTGAAATGTTAATGTATTTTTTTGGATCGGATTATTGTCCCATATTTCATAGAGGAAAATTTAAACCAACACTTGTATTTGAACATTTTGGAAAATTTTGTCAGACAATGGTTAAGCTTGATTTATAGATTGCCTTCCTTCCTTTCCTCCTTCCTTCCTTCCTCCCGTAAAAAATGAACAATACGAAAATCGTAGGAAGGAAATTTATAAATCATGCTTTAAACAATCATTTTGGCGCAAGGTAGATAGGAAGGTTTGGCCCCAATTCATTATCCAGCTAGGTCGCCTGACCTTACATTATTAGACTTCTTTTTGTGGGGTGCCTTAAAAAAAGGTTTACTCACATAATCTTCCACGTGATCAGGAAATAATAAAAGAGCGCATAGCAGAAGCAATCCATAAACTGAATATTTCGCAAATCATTCGTAAAGTGTAAATTTATTAAGTTAGCGGAAAAGTGCGTCGAGGTGGGAGGTACCTATGTAGAATAATTTTAAAATATTCGAATTTTTTATTTGAAATTTGTATTTAGTCTTTATGCTAGTTTATAAATAATTTTGTTTTATTTTATTTTAGTTTATAAACAACTTTGTTTAATTTTAAAATATTCGAATTTTTATTTTAAAATTTGTATTTAGTCTTTATGCTAGTTTATAAACAACTTTGTTTTATAAAATTTTTGTTAAAAATAATAAATAATGGTACTACTCTAAAGCATTTTCATATTTTCATATTTTCCTAATTTATTAACACCAGTACATCTGATCTAAAAAAATTTTATCGTCAATTCATTTTCTCAATGAGCAGAACTTTTTAAAAAAAATAAGTTTTTGTCGTAAAATAAGTAATAAAGATTATTTCCCCCTTGAAGACCCCACTGTATATGTAGAACTTTGTACAGGACAATTTTTTTTTTAGATAGGAATTTTTAGTTTATTAGGGCAGAATTGTTTTGGGCATCCGCAGGCTGCAGTGCTGAATTTAAAAAAAATTTATAGTCTCACCTTATATTTGTAGTTTTTTAATTGTAAAAATGTTTTTAAAAAGACATATTAGTTGAAACAACTTTTAGATCCTTGTCCCCAGGTATAAAATATCGTATGTTATTTAATGTTATTTTTAGGTGGTCAGAGCACATGGAGAGAATTTTTGACACTTCCAAATATACTTAAGGTATTTAATCCAAAATTACAAGGATATGCAGTTAAAGCTTCACTTAATACTCAAAAAGAAGCACAATTTAATGTGGCACAAACTGGTGCTATGTCCATGGATGTTCCACATATGACGGATCTTTTAGTAAAGAGGTTAAAAACTCATTCACATATAAATTTTAATGAGGATTGGAAGGTTAGTTCTATTTAATTTATTTATTTATTTACACACAATTTTACACTGTGATACACAAAATTAAAAAGTTAACTCGTATAAGTGCCGGGACATTACTCGGGGAGCCAACAGTTAGGGGTGCCATTTTCCAAATCAATTTGACACATTTTTTTGTCAAAGTGATTTATTTATGTAAATATGCGCATTGTTTTTTAAAAGAAAGTATATTGCGTATGATGACATTAAAATAAATGAAATTTTCACGTGAATTCATAAAATTTATTTTAAAACTTTATTAAGATTTAAATAAAACTATTCATAAAAAATGGCCTTAATTTGAGTTTTGCAGCTTAAATTTGGAAACGCGGCCTGTACTGTTATTTGGATTACTGCAAGAGTTAGTGATAAGTGATAATGTAGTAATAAGTTTAAACGTTTTTAAAGAGAAAATAGAAAATCAGGCAAACAGAGAAAACTTTTGAAAATTGAAACTGTTTTAACTGCAACCCTTTTTGCAATACTTTTTGAGATATCACGAGATTACCGATAAAATTTGCGAAGCAAAACCAATAAAGAAAAAGTTCGTAAGGAGCTTTATCCCTTGCGAGTTTTTTCCTGAGCTTTCATCGCAGACTTGGAACAATATTTAGGCATTCGAAAAACGAAATGATAGTTCTCCATAAAAATGTAATCATTGTCTACACATTGTTGTTCAATTAAAGAATTTATATTTTTAAATAAATACAAAAATCTGTTTAAAACCTACACATTTTTGCAGATTTTTTGAAAATAAAAATAGTTAAAAATTGATTAAGATCAAACATGAACGATGTAAACTTGGAAGCATACATGTTGATGGCATGCGAGAGACATTTTAGAAGCCATTAATACAATTTTCTTATCGAGAAGCTTTGTCTTGGTAGTTTGCAAAACATATACCATATTCAAATCTTTTTGTAAAACTAGCATGTTAGCATGTACGTTTATTAAAATTTAATAAACGTACATGTTAGTTCCGCAATGGCCGTAGGCAACTAAATACATGCAAATATCTGTATCTTAATTAAATTACATTTAATTTTTTGTGCTCATTTCTAATATAAAAAGTTCGACCAGGGGGCGGCACATTGAGAAAAACCCGGTGACAGCTTAAATCCCAGCACTCCCTGGGTATAACGGATATATTTACTCGTATAAACAATTACATGTTTATAAAAATAAATTTTTTAAAATTGACTAATTTCTTATTATATTTCCCAAACAAAAAAAATCTTTTCTTTATTTTCGATAAAATATGTAAATTTGTTGTTCCTTCTTGAATAAATGGAACTGGTGTTTATTGCCTATAATGTGTTATTGCGTTAGTGGATCCTGGTTGGAGTATATGTATAGTAATATATTGTGTTTAGTTAACAGACCAAGCTGCTTAGTGCTGTATTTAATTTTACAATTTTGATATGTACAAGGAAGAGTTGGCATAGCTTACAGCTTTCTTAAGATTTAGAAAGTGTGTTTGCGAAGTTCTGTATTATATTAAATATTGTTCGACATTTAAAAGTATGTGCTCGTCATAAAGGTCATCCTTTAGGAAATAAGCAAGGGAAATCAGTTGATATGGATCGCTTCACAAGTGAAAATTGTGTTCTTTGCTTGGAAGTCTATTACCAAACCAACAATTTTTTGATCGCCGCTCAGATATTTTTTTTGGCTCTAATGGTGCTTCGTCAGTAAAATTAATTAAGAAAATTTAGGAGAGGGGTAACACAACGCCGAAAAAGGAAAGAGGCTGTTATGATTCATTCGCGCCATTTGATTCGTAAACATTCAGATGAATTTATCAACAGCTACTGTCCTGTAGCAAGAGTAGAAGGACAATGCCAATTCTAGACCACCAATTCACATGACAGCCGCATAGAAAATAATAAAAATTTTGAAAATATCACATCAATATTTTAATTTCTAAAGGTCGCTAAAAGTTCGTTGGTATTTATATTCAGAGGTCGCTCGAAAACATTCAAAATACTCTACTTTGAAAGTTAAAAAAATCTTGAGCGACCTTTAGAAATCAAAATATCCATTTGAAATTTTCAGAATCATTATTATTTTTAAATTAAAAAATAATATTGGAACGAGGAAAAAATTAAAATAAAAAAAAAATCCAATTTTAGACGATTTTGTAAATTTTTAAAAATCTTGAGCGACCCCTAAAATTTTTTTAATGGAGCTGATCTGTTGACAGGGCTCTTAAAACATGAAAAACCAACATATTTTCACAAGAGACAAGACAAAAAAAATATTCTTATATATACGTATATATATATATATATATATATATATATATATATATATATATATATATATATATATATATATATAAACACATAGTTTGGCTAAGTCCTATGTCGCTGAGAACTCTCGTTCGCTGTGTTTTCACCGCTGTTCTATGGCATTTCTTGCTATAAGGGCGGCTGATGCATTTTGTTTCGAGTGTGCTTTGGACCAACACGGCTACCCGACACTGATGAAAACCCAAAGTCCGAAACAGGCTGTCTGTCGGTGCCTTGTTCGAAGCACATGGCATGATTGACCCGGCTGGTCATGCCGGACGGCTGCGGACGGTACTAGAGAATTTACTACCAATGGTTGTAAAAGGTGTCAGAAAAAATATGTCAAATGTGAAGCAGTTGCGCAGAGTTAAAAAACGTAACTAAAATTAACGATAAGCAAATGTATTGCAGTGGAGATAATAATATCTGAAGATGCAATTACAATAACTAATAATCCTTTATTATTAAAAATATATTACCTTAAGTAAACTATTAAAGATAATGAATCAATATCTAACCGATACTAACCCAAGTACAACAAATTCTTATTTTTTCCACAATGTGGCAGAAAAGGAAGTCTATGATGTAATCAATGGTATGAAATCATCAAATTCCACAGACATCTATGGTTTTTCAACTAAGATCATAAAGCAAATTATTAATGAAATAACACCACCCATCACCATCATAATAAACAAATGTTTTGAGAAGGGTATCTTCCCAAAAGAGCTCAAAATTGGAAAAGTGATAGCCATGCACAAGAAGGACGACATAAATAACTGCACAAACTTCAGACCCATATCTATTTTGCCAACAATTTCAAAAATTTTTGAACAAACGATTAAAAAAAGGATAATTAACTACTTGGATAAGAACAACATCATTAACAACTATCAACATGGATTTAGACAAAAACGATCAACAACCACAGCCTTGCTACAAGTAATTGAAAAAATAACCACAGGTTTTGATAAAAAGGACCAACCAAAATGGCTATGTGTGATCTAAGCAAAGCCTTCGATACCATATCACATCAAATATTGCTTCAAAAACTAAACCACTATGGCATTAGAGGATTACCCAACCAACTAATAAAGAACTATTTAAAAAATAGAAAACAATCGATTGAATGGAATGGTAGCACATCTGAGATACAAAACATAAATTGTGGAGTACCGCAGGGGTCGGTGCTTGGACCTATTATTTTCATCATTTACATAAATGATTTTGCGTACATCACAAACAAAAGTGGTATTTGTCTATATGCAGATGATACCTCCCTCCTAGTAAATGGCAAAACTGAGGACATAGTAAGCAACTCACTAGATCAAGTTATGACTAAGGCCAAAACCTGGTTTAGTGCAAATAAACTTCAGCTGAATGAAACAAAAACACAAGTTCTTACTTTTAATACTCAACACCAACGTTCAACAGCAAAATTCCTGGGAATTCATATTGATACCACCCTCTCTTGGTCAAAACACATACCACAACTTACCAAAAAACTGTCAACAGCAATCTACAGCATTAGAAGAATGAAAAAAATAGCAAGTCATGAAATAGCAAGAATGGCGTACTTCTCAAACTTTCATTCTATTGCTTCATATGGAATCTTGTTATGGGGAACTTCAAATGAAATTATGTGTATTTTCAAACAGCAAAAGAAAGCTTTAAGAATACTATGTGACCTTGGGCACATGGAGAGCTGTCGAGAGTCTTTTAAACAGGAAAAAATTCTCACCATACCAAGCGTTTATATATTTACCACCTTAAAATATGTATACGAAAACATAAACAATTACACAAAGAACAGTGATATACATACCTGTAATACTAGAAGAAAAAACGAACTCCACCTACCATTCCATAGACTAAAAAAAAAACCAAAATTACGCTGACTACTGGGGTGTCAAGCTCTTCAACAAACTTCCAGAGAAAATAAAGGGCCTACCTTCAAGGAAGTTTCCGCCGGCTGTGAAAAGCATCCTCACTAGAAATGCCTTTTATACCTGTGAAGAATTCTTAAACTGTCAAAATCTGTGATATATGTACTAAATAAATAACTATGATATATTGTTTGTAACTTATATGTATTGTAATAATATTTGTATATGTATGTGTAGATTTTATACTTTTATACTTTTACTTACCTTTATACTTACTTTTATACTTGCTTTTAACGATGACTTACCATGTAATTTTGATGGTTAATATATATTATTATTATTATTATTATTATTATTATTATTATTAATGCGGGTGGTGTGTATTTACACCACAGGTTAGTTTAAATAAATAGCTTCAAAGATTATACTTACAAGTCGTTTTATTTGCCAATATTTACAATAATTGTTGTCAGTTATAATTTTTTTTTTCTAATTTCCTTCTTCTGCTCCTTTTTCTAACTTCTTTATTTTGCTCCTTTTTCTAATTTCTTTATTTTTTTTATTTCTTGTCTTCTTTTTTATCTATTCCTTTTCTCTTTATTTCTTATTCTTCTTTAAATTTATTATTTATGTTTAGTTTTATATATATATATATATTAGGGTGATGCAAAAAAAAATTTTTTTGAATTCTATGCGAGACCACTCGGGTTTTCAAAGAGTATCAAGAAAATAAAAATCTGTAAAAATTTGAGAGAAATCAATTAAAATTTAGAGGTCGCTCAACGCAATTGTTTAATTTAGAAAAATCACGCATCTCAAATGCATTGCTATAAACAAGTAGGCATATTTCATACAAATTTAAATGAAAATGGTTGAATTTTTTTTTGGTGGACTCTTAACGATTATTCTAATAAATAATGTTGTCCCGATTTCAAAAAATTTTTCATAATATTTAAAAAATATATATTAATTAGCAAATATAGCTTAGTTAACAAATAATTCATTCAATTTTTTTTTTGTTTCAAAATCTGTAAAAACATTGTTAATAGGTCTACAAGCAATTATTCATTCATAAAAACACTCGCCCCATCGTTAAATATGAGAAAAAAAATATTTTAATTAACTACACTTCGCGTCAAATTTAACGCACCACTAAAAGTTTGTCACATTTTCAAAGTTGATTTTCTCACGAACCGTCAAACCGAATTTAGTGATTTTTATAATAAATTGTAGGTTTATTCTTCGGTAATAATCCGTTTATTAAAATATTTTTTTAAATTAACATTTTGAGTACATACAGGGTGCTTTACTTTTAAATGAAATATACAGTTAAAGATTAAAGAACTCCAGTTTAATACAAAAATGTAAAAAGAACGATTGTAACAATAACAACAAAAATATTAACAAAATCAATAAAACCAACATTAAAGAATATCA